TTATGTTGATCTTATCATTGTAGGAGGAAAATTCTCACATTGGTGATAATGAGGATCCACCGAATGATGTCCAATCTTCATTAAAGAGGAGTTTTAATTGTGAGTCCATGGAAGGAGAATCTGATGACCTATTGCAGCATTCTTCAACCAAGATGAAGAAGATTATAAAGATTGAGAAAAACTAATGTTCATGCTGCAGATATGATAAACATATTTTGAATTGTGGGATGAACTTTCTACTGAAGTTGTACTTTTTTATGGGACCTTAATTTGAGGTGTTGTTTGTTTTGTTTAGTTGTTTTGTGTATTGGCTTCCATAAGACATTTTTCTATTATTAATGTTTTGAAAATGGTAATGAAATCTATGTTAATTTGTGCTATTTCGGCTTACTGTTTTTGGTTACTTTATCTTTTTAAACTATTTATCACTTATTGTTATTAGTTAAAAACTTTGTAGTAGGATTGCAAAGTTTTACAACAAACCTTTACTACTTTGGACAGTGGTTATGATTATTTTAGGTAACATTTTGAGCTCTTTAATACTTTGAATCTTACTAATTTATCACAATTCCTCAATTACTTTAATGTCACTTGCATGCTGTTTCTGCATTTATTGACAACAGTTATAACTATCTTGGGTAGCATTTTTAGCTCTTTAATACTTTGAATATTTCTAATTTATTACAGTTCCTCAACTACTCTTATGTCAATTGAATGCTGTTTCTGCATATATTTGAATGTTTATATTTTTTCCTTAAAAAAAACGGTAAGGGGAAACAAAATTCAAGCAAAAAAATGAATTTTTTTCATTCCTATTTGAATTCCATTCATTATCATCATGATGGTAAATGTTTATAATCTATATATGATCAATAAATTGATTTATACTATTAGTATTTCAATATTTAGAAAAAGTATTTATTGTCGGGGCTAATGGGTTCTTTAAATAATGAATGGCTATTCAGCTTCTGCCTTAATTGCTTTTAGGGCAATTGTAAGTTTACATGTTTATTTTATTTATATATTTTATTTATTTATCTACTAAATCATTAATTGAAATTGAAGTTGTGAGCTGACTGGTTGATCCAAATCCAGCTGTGAATGACTATCTGTGGACTCAAACCAGGCAACTTTATTGTAAGTTGCTAAATTTATCTACTTTAATTGCTTTTGAAAATGACTCACCATCTTCTTCCTTTTTTCTTTTTTCTTTTTTTGTTCTTTTCTTTCTCTGGCCGAAGTCTCCATGTCTTTCATTTTTTAATTTCCTTCTTTCACTTGCAGCAAACATGTGTGTCTTTTTAACTTTTTATGTTAATTTCCTTTATTGTCTTTTTGTTTGGATCCTTTTCTTCATATTCATTTGCATTTTTTAATGGTTGTTGTGTTTGATTTTCTTAGGGATGAACAACAAAAAAGGGAAGCAAGACTAAGAAGAAGATATATCATGGATCAGAAACGTCCATATAAACTGTCCAGTCTTGAGATGTCCTGTAATCCTTTGGAATCCAATCAAATATCATCAATTGCTGACCATGCTACCCATCCTTTAAACAGAGCAGCTTTAAGTGATATTTCGAATGGTCTGCAAAATAAACTCAATTTTTATTTTTTTTATAATTAATATTGGCTTATTAACTCTCCACATCTTTTTTTTTTCTCAGATTCCCTTAGACCTCTTCATCAATCTCCTTTGAAGAGGAAGAAATTGGAGAATTCAAAAATGCAGGTCCATAATTCCATCTCTGGTTCAGGCTTAAAGATGGAAACTTACAAATTTCTCTCACATTGTGCCTTTAAATCACCAAGCTCTTTGAATGTGAAGTATGACCCTTACTCTATATTATATGCATTATGAAATCTTAATTTTTTTTATTTAATTCTTGAGATGTTATGTATATATTAACTTTTTTTCAATGTATAAGTTGTCCTCCCTGTACTGGGACAACTTCTAAATCAATCACAAGTAATGATCATGGACCTCCAACTTCTCATAAGGGCTCAAATCAAATTCAAAGTTAGTTTTAATTTGGTTTTCTCCTAGGTGTTTATTTTTTTTAATATGACACATTTTAATTATAATTGTACATACCTATACTTCAGATGGCATACATGGAATTAATGTAGATGAAAAGAAATTAGCCAGAATAAGGAGAAAGTCTATTTTGTTACAAAAGCAAGCCATCTCAAGTGTGTCTCCACGCACTCCTTCATTTGATGCTTTAAATGGTATTAGTTTAAATTATTGATATTTTCTCTTAAATATGATACATTTGACATTATCTAATTGCATGTGTGTTTTATCCTTTTGGAATTCGTTGTAAAGTTTTAAATTAATACTTTGACTTGAGTGTGACTCACAACTTTCCTCAATGTTTCCAGTTTCAAATATGATCGTTAGCAATTCCCTTGCATATTCGTCTATCTGTATAAAGGGAAAATCTACCAGTCATTCTGAAAATATTTCATCACCCAACTTTTCTAATCCTACTGAGCATTTTCCTAATGAGACTCTGGAATGTAGTCATGTAATTTCCACTGATTCTTACAATGCTTCAAGACTAAGGTAATTTCTTATATAACTCATTTAGTTATTTTATAATTAGATGATCATATTATATCTAATCCATTAAAATAACAATCTTGCTAGAATTGGTAAACAAGTGTTTCAAAGTAGCCAAACTATCCAGTCCCTTTCATGGACTGGGTCAAACATATTTAACAAGCAATATATCAGGAAAGGAGAAAATTCACAATTCTCTGATGTTCAAGGTAAAATAGATTTTATTTTATTGTGTATTTTCTATTCTATTTTTTTTATATAATACTAAACTCTGTTATTGCCTAACATAGTTCCCGTTTCATATAGGAATTCCTGTTCAAGAAGGACCTTCAAATAATTTAAGCAGTAATCTTCATATTGGTAATTTTCTATGTAAATTCATCTTGGCATAAAAGATTATTTGTTTGCTTTTGTTTGACTCTTTTTCTTTATTTACATTATATTTGTCTTGAGAAGAATATCAAGATGCTTTATTTCCAATATCTGAGGATGAAGGTATGGTTTCATTTTTCTTATATATTACATTTTCTTTTATATCACAAATTTTTAAAAAATTCTTTTATATATTTATTTTATTTAATTATACATTAATTGTTATATTGACAGAGGACGAAGTTGTTATTGAAAATGAATCAGAAATTGAACTTTCCGAAGGTAAGGTTCTTTGCTATTAATTCATGTATATTATGAGGTTTAGTAACTCTCATTTTTAAGAACAATTTGAAACTTTTTTCCTTTTATTTTTTTTAAACCTTCTATGGATAGAGTACGAGGACATTGGAGATCCAACATATATTTGTAAACATTGTGGTGCAAATATGTGGTATGATGAAAGGAATAGGAAGGATCGCAACCCAAATGATCCAGAATTTACTCTGTGCTGTATGAGTGGCAAAGTTCAGTTGCCCCTTCTTAAAACTGCTCCAAATCTTCTTCTCAATCTTTGTAGTAATGTAGACAATCGAAGCAAGCATTACCTGCACAATATTCGAGCATATAATATGATGTTCTCCTTTACATCTTTTGGAGGCAAGGTTGATACTTCAATAAATAAAGGTTCTAATCCTTCTATTTTTAGGGTTGGAGGACAAAATCATCATTATTTAGGCAATCTTATTCCACTTCCAAATGAAAAGCCTAAATTTGCACAGTTGTACATATATGATACAGAGAATGAAATTGAAAATAGATTGAATTGTTTTAGGTATGTATAATACCTATAAATTTAACTATTGTATTTATTTTTTCCTTTATTTTCAGTGTTTATTTATTAATAAGTAAATTATATCTATACATAATTTTTTTTACAGTTCAGCGGGGAAATCTGAAAGTTTAGATCCAGAAATTGTAGTTGACTTGCAGGAAATGCTTGATAAGAGTAATGTCCTTGCACAAAGTTTTCGTTATGCTAGGGATCGTTACAAAGAAGATGATCTCAAAGGGGTGAAGATGAGATTGATTCGACGCAGGTCCAATGATGGAAGAACCTATAATCTTCCAACTGCATCTGAAGTGGCTGCTTTAATAGTTGGAGATATCGATAGTTCAATTGGAGACAGAGACATAATAGTTGAGACACAATCCAAGAAACTTCAACGCATTGATGTGCATCATCCTTTGTATCTTGGCTTACAGTATCCTTTGTTGTTTCCTTATGGAGAAGATGGATATAGGGATGATGTTAAGTTTAGACTTCCAACTGGTGCTAAGAAACATGCCAGAGCAAAAGTTAGCATGAGGGAGTTCTTTTCATTTAGACTACAAGAGAGAAAAGAAGAGTCTCAACTTCTATTTCTTTCTCGAAAGCTCTTTCAACAGTTCTTAGTGGATGCTTATACCATGATTGAAGCAGATCGTTTGAATTTTCTCAAATTTAACCAGCCTCGATTAAGAGTGGATTTGTATAAAAGTGTTGGTGATGCTCTAAATCGAGGGGAGAAAGAAGCATCTACTACTGGCAAACGAATTATTCTTCCGTCATCTTTTACTGGAGGGCCTAGATATATGTCAAAGAATTGCAAAGACGCATTTGCTATCTGTCGTTGGGCAGGTTATCCAAGTCTTTTTATAACCATAACATGCAATCCAAAATGGCCAGAGATCACTAGATTTGCCAACAAAAGAGGTGTTCGACCTGAGGATCGTCCAGACATTCTTTGCAGAGTTTTTAAGATTAAATTGGATCAATTGCTAAAGGACTTGAAGAAAGGGCACATTTTTGGAACAGTTATTGGATGTGAGTCATAGTTCTTCTTTGTTGATGTTTCATTTATCTTCAAAATTTTCTATGATTATGCTTATAAGCCATTTAAAATTTACTCTCATTATTTTACATGCATATAATAATAAACTGTAGAGTTTTATTACATTCACGTCTTTTTCTTACATGCATATAATAATTTTCTTCAAAATATGTTCATTTAAACCCAAAAACTCCTATTCTTATGCATTCACGTCTTTTTCTTTTCTACCCCCTTTATCTCAAACATACCTTTGGGTCTCTCATCCAATCTGTAAGTAGAATTGCCCAACCCTTTTTTTAGCTTTTATCCATTCCCAAGATCTAATCTGGATAACTTCAAAATATGTCAAAGGCATTGTTGATGAGATTTTTGCAAGCTACATACATGAAGGGCAGGACAATGTTTGGTATCTTCGAAAATATATAGGCAATACCAGGATGGTGGCAAGGAAAAAATTGAGTGGTTTTGGCTATTATTCTTACTAATGATTATATGTCAATATGTTAAAATATGTGTTGAAATTGAATATATTTACCTTTTATTCTCTTTCTTGTGTCTTTATTGTTATTTTTTACATTTCAAACTTTGTTTCTTTAAGAAAGAACTTAAGGATTTTGATTTCAATTTAAGTTGTTACTTCTAAATTTTTTTTTCTCTTGAAATCTTTTTTCCATAA